CTCCAGGCCACAGAGCAATATGGAGTGAATTCAGGATTTGAGTCTGTTTACAAAGTACACTTTCTTTCCATTCCCTTAATTTATGCTAGAAGAATTGCTGCCTTATCATAATCCTTGACATCTTATTTTCCTTTGTTTGAAAATCCAACATTGGAATTTATTCATCACTATGCACAGTGATTTTATATTTTTGTCTCATAAAAATGCCTTTACAACGTTGGCTGAAGTGTCTGTTCCTTAAACATTTATTTAGCATTTTTCTGAGTTCTTTATAGGAATTAAATCACTTAATCTTCACAACAACCCCATGAGGTAGATACCACTACTATCCCCAGAGTTTTACAGATGAAGGAACAGTAAAGCACAGACAAGTTGACTAGCTTCCCCAAGGTCACACAGCTAGTGACACAGGAGCTGAGGTTAGCCTGAGCTCTCAATCACTGGGCTCCGATGCCTTTTGTCATTGTTATAGCTCCACACTGATTGCATAGTGGCAGGCGACAGCTGTATTTACAAAGTTCACACATTTCTGCCATGGTCAAATCTTTATCTTGAGGGATTTCATCAGCTGACAGAATGAAATATAATTGTGCCTTATTTTTTAATGTAGCCTATCTGCTAGGTATGTCTGCTCTGCATCAACTCTTTTAATTGCTCTCAGAACATCTAATCTAGAGACCCAGGCACCACATAAAATACAGTGATGAACATCAAAACGCTGGTTTCTGGACACTTTCCAAATTCTGGCTTCCTTCTGCTCTCTTCAAACTGCCTCATGCATGGGCTTCTTTCACTTGCTGATACATTTGGCTTTCCATGTTGGCTCCTCCTTCTCTCCTCACCTCGTTTGCTGTTGGTAATGTTCCCTCATTTTCCTTTCCTTCATAAAGAGGGGCCTCTCCGTGGCTCCCCGCCACTGGCAATGGCTCCACTGCACCCACTGGCCCAAGGCCCTGCGTTTCATGCTTTTCCAGACTCCTAAGACACCTCGAGCATCTACAGCACCCCCAAGCCTGACTTATCTGAGAGGGACATAACAAAATGTGGGCAGTTCATCTGTTTTGTCACAAGACTCAGAGAAATAGGCTTTGTACCTATAATTTACCTGTTATCTACAGCATCTCCAAGTCACTCTAACTCACATCAGCCTCTAACATGAGTGGTTAGAAGTGATATTCACTTTCACCTGTTTTTCTTCAATTACTAATTCTAACAAATGGAAATCACTGCATATTTATGTGGCATATCTCAAGTTCTCTCACAAAAGAAACCGGTATGTTTAAATTAAATGGCCATATGCATATCTTACAGATATTTCAACATCTGGCCCTACTTTGCAAAGGCTTAGTTTCGCAAGTTACACCAGAAAGAACGCATTTAAAAACATAAGGCCCTGTATATCTACATGAAAACCACATCAGTGGGACCGTTAAAATTTTGCGTAAGTAAACATTAGAAATGTGACAAATTGCTAATTTCCTATGAAGGACTATAAAATTCCAACTGAGAACTCTGGGTTATGGGTAAAAGGAAGAGTAGAAATAGGAATGGCTCCTGAACCTCAAAGACTGCTCCTGCTGTCTAGATTTTGAATAAAAAGGTGTTGCCTGTTGGCTGAAAAGTTCTTATTGATCTTTATAACTGTTGCTCTCACCCAAAGACTCCATTTCAAAATGCGTATATAGAAATTGTAGATCCTACCACTATGCTGATGGTAAGAACAAGGCCTTTGTCCCAAGGGAGTTAGAAATATCTAATTGAAATCTACAGTATCAGACTTTGTCTTCATTATCAGAAAATTGGAAAAATAATGGTAACTATAAAATAATCAGAGCTCCCCAGGAAAGCAACAGTAATGCCAAGGAACAGCATGGCACAGAAGTCTATAACTCACTTTGAACTCTGATCTTAAATATATCATCCTGAACCTATAACAGGCTCCTTTCTTAGACTGCCTTTATCATAGTGGTTTAAAATTCAGATTTATCCCAAATTCCTGGTTGCCTATTTAATGAAACACTGACCTCTGATGTATTCACTTTGTATGCTGTATTTTTATAACGGAGATATATTTCAACTGTTTTATAATTTCATAGTGAGAATTGCTACTGGTTTGGGTACTTTGGGACATGTTATTAAAATAAGAACTATGTATTTATTGGCATATTCATATTTTGGTTTGTTTAAATGAGCCATTATATATTCTTTATCATAAAAAGACAATGGTTACAGTTTTTTAAAAAATGGGTAGCAAGGCTTGCTGGAGAAACAGCTGCATTCAGGCTGGGGCAGGAAATAGGGAAGTGAGCCTGAAAAATCTTGTCATACCTCATAGTGAAGAAGTTATTAGAGTTCTTAGGGTCAGTTCAAAAGAGCTCAGGAGCCAACTCACTATGCTCCCATTGGCCAAAGATGGAATAAATTGCATATCAATAAGGATGAGGGCTCTGATGACATTTAAATGTATTATTTCAGCCCAGCCGGGCGTGGCTCAGTGGTTGAGCATCGATCTGGGATCCAGGAGACTGCAGTTGGATTCCTGGTCAGAGTGCATGCCGGGGTTGCGGGCTCGATCTCCAGCAGGGGGCGTGCAGGAGGCAGCCAATCAATGACTCTCATCATTGATGTTTCTACCTCTTTCTCTCGCTCTCTTTCTCTCTCTGAAGTCAATAAAGATATATTTTTTTAAAAAAACTATTTAAATTTATTATTTCATAGGATACTTAAAGAAATACTTGCTTATCACTGTTGTATGATACCAAAAAATTAATTCATTATTTTGAAATCTGTTAGGTAAAGAGTAAGAAACATTTGTGCTGCCTTTTAAGATAAAAACTGGCTACCACTGCTAACCAATGAGTCTGATACATTTCTTTTCACGGAAAGTATTATGGTTAATAAATAATGGAAAAGTACTAGAAATGTAATATCGCTAATTTGAAACGCTTACGGAACTAAGGATTTAGGTTCTTGAGCATCAGCGGCTACTAACATCATCAAAAGTGACATGGTCAGACTTTATGTGCCTCCTGATGAAAGCACACAGTATCACTTATAAAGTAGTTGTATCTGCCAAAAGTAATAACTTGAACTTTTACAAGCTGCCGGATGTGACTGCTAAATCAGTGAAAATACAGAGGATGGGGAACATGTTAAACTACATACACTGTGGGTGTGAAGATAGCAAAATCCAGACTGTGAAAACCGTAACAGGACAACACACACCAGCACATGAATTTCAAGGGAGAAAATAAGAGATAAGAATGGAGGGATAATCTAAAGATGAACATTGACATGAAAGATATAACAATGTATGGGCACAATGTATGGGCCTCATTTGGATTTTAATTCAAGCAGGGACATTTATGAGGCAATGGGAAATTTGAACCCTGGATGGATATTTGATAATCAATTACGAAATTCTCAGTAAGTTTTTAGTGTGATAATGACAACACTGTGGTTACATTTTTAAAAAGAATTATCTTTTTGAGATATGTACTATAATATTTACAGATGAAATAGTATATCTGAGATTTGCTTCAAAAGAATACAGGGCGGGGAAGTTGGATGAGACTATGAACAGGGAAAGATTGACCACGGCTTCATGGCCCTTGGGGCTGGATGATGGCATTGATTATCCTGTCCTATTTTGTGAATGTTTAAAGTTCTCCGTAATAAAAAGCTAAAAACAAAACCAACCAAAAAGTACACAGGCATTTCTTTGTTTATATTCTACTCTCAATGTTTAACCAATTTTAAATATTCAAGGGAAGAAATTTATCAAGACTAACTTAAAAAACTGGCATATTCATGAGCTTTATTTACTGTTTACAAAGGCAGCCCATTTTCCTAGAGAAAAGAGAAAGTACAAAGAGCAAACCTTCTTCATTTTATCTTATCTATTTATATGCTCACTTACTTCACCTACATATCACCTGTACTCAGAGTTACTGGACATTGAACAGAAAGTCATTCTATACGGTAAGGCTGTATTCTTACAGTTATTGTTTAATTAAGTACATCATTATTTTAATAGAACAGAAATTTACCAGCATTTAGAGACCAGCTGCCTATTTCCTAGAGGTAACCAGGCAAAAAACAAAACCACGACTCTCTCCTGCTTATACTGCATAAGCTAGTTTTTAAATCAGTATACAAAATGATTTTTTCTTTTAAAATTGCACCATATATACTAAAAAGAATAATGTCAGTTTTCCAACATCCCTGCCTGCCCTTACTGCCTTATTTACCTTATTGCCTTTCCATATCTTATTTTTCCATTTTCCAATGTTAGATTCCACTTATCAACTTATTTGGTACGTCTTATGTCAACAGACTTTTAAGGGAAACACAAGAACTTACTAAAATACAAAACCTGTTGATTAAAAGGTGGGGTGATGACACATCAAAATCCTAACTTGAAATTGCTGATACAAACCTAGCAGCTTAGTTTAACCTTTCACGATTCAATACTTATATTGTTTCCCTCTCAAGTTCTTTATGACCCACTGTTTCTTCTGTGGGTCTCTGAAAATAATCCTCATCTCAGGTCTTTATCTTCTGACACCCCACCATCCACCTGTTTCAACCCCAGATGTGAAGGTCAGGATTCAGGGGCTTGGGCTCCATCCGGATGCAAGCAGATCAGAATTTTCCCACAGCGTCCTAAAACTAAGGGAGGCCTGCCTGCTATACAACTAAGAATAACTGTCCTTTAATTAAGGGGTATTTTTTCCCCTCTGTGATTGTTTTGCAACATTATCAAAACATTTAGAAAATGTTTATCCTCACAGATCCTGAGGTGCACTTTTTCGGGTTATTGGCTCCTTTCCAATTACTGAAACAGCCAAAGAAAGAACAAACAAATCCAAACAAGTAAATGGAAAATACATTTTCTCCCTCCTCCTTTTTCTCTAGCGCAGAGTCTGTTCTTGTTCACGATATTTATATCAAGATCCCCTTTGCTGCATAAAATTGATAATTAAAAGAAAAACACTTACCCAGAACACAAAGTTGAAGATAAACATGGAATATTTTATACAGCTATTCACACCTGCCATGTCGGAAACGGATCAGGAGTCAGATGCTGTGAATTTAGCTGGTCGGTACAGGATTGCCCAGCAATGTGCTCCGGAGTAATTTGCCTGCAGAGATTCTGTGCCCGCGCGGCTTCAGGGCAGAAATAGAAAGCAAGGGAGGGGGGGGAATAATCTAGTTATTAAAGTGGATAAAAAATTAACCCACACATTTAAATATCTCAAGGGCTATCTTCTCTAGGCGAGTATGTTCTTTTGCTTGTCATGGCTCTGGGGCACCGGGCCAGGATATTTATGATTCTTTTTCAAAAAAACTGCCTCCTCTAAAGTAAACAGATATCAAATTAAGGGAGTGGCACTGAACCCGGGAGAGAATGGCACAGCGATACTGGGTTGTTAGATTTCAGAAACCACAACCGGACTTGCCTGCCCTCTGTTTCGGCTAATACAGAAGAAAGGTTGCTTTGCTCTGACATAAAGGGATATTGTGTCTCAGTTCATTTTTGCATTGCATTTTCTCAAAAATGCAATTTTTCTTTCAGATGCAATACAATGCATTTCGAAATCTGCCCAATCTGAAGGTTTAGGCGTAGAAACCTTCTATCCTTGACCCCAGAATGGTGGTAACAACCATTACATGTACCTGCCTCCCAAAGCTTTTAAATCTATTTCAAAACAATTTCATGGCACTTCCTTAAATGCAGTGCAGGAGGGAGAGGCTGCCTTGCCTATCATAAAAACATTCTGTTTATATCTTTACTTCTTTAGGATGTAACAGGGGGAAAACATTCTCAGGAGTCACTCTCTGACTACCCCAATTGCGTTCTTTTATAATGTGTAGCCATTTCGATAGTCCAGGTTGTTTTTAAGGTGGACACTGTACTTCCCCCCCTCAGATAAGTTATGTCCAGCAAAGCTCCTCACCACCAACTCAGTTTCTGGATTCCTGGTCTCTTGGACAAAAAATTCAGAACGAGAAGGTGGCTATAGTTCAATGACCATAGATTGTACAGTTTGTTTCTAGTACTAATAGAAGGCAGCTGTTGCAGGTAAAGGCAAAATTCTCTGACCTAATTAGGGAAGTGTGGACTGCCTTTGTGTAAACAATTTGGGTCATGCTAGTCTCCACATCCTGCCTCTAAAAAGAAGCCCCCCCTCGCCGAAATAAAAGAACCCTGTACTTCAAAAGGGTTTTGGAAAAAATAATTCTTTAAAATCTTTGTTATGTTCTATACAATACGCAAGCATGAACTTCTAAAAAAATTGAATAGTTAAAAGAACATTTTTCTAATTTTTACTGATATACAAAGATGCTTTTGAAACAATCCCACTGCTTAACTCTAAACAGAATATATTTTTAATGTATTAGCAATAATATTTAGTGTTAAGACCAAATCTAGAAGTAATTCAAAAAATTATTGCTTAATATTTAAATCACTAAAATTATTGGTGTTTTGTGTGCTGTTCCCTCCTAGAGAATGGAAATCATTTTGGAATTTCTGAGATATCAGTATATATAGGATTATCCATGGCTCAAAACAGAGAGAATTTTTGACTGAATGAAAAACCAAGTGGATTTGTTTTTTACTTATCCAAAGAAACTTATAGATTAAAATACTGTTTTGTTGACAAGCATGTATGGAGTCCCTACCAAATTTCAGTTTGGAATAGATTTTTTTTTTGTACATGCTGTATCTCCTTTAAAAAATATATAGTTGTTAGTTTAAATCAATGGATGTGTTTTTACAGGAAAAGTGCTCTATGTAATAGACTCCCCAGTCCAATTCAAAATCTATATGAAACAGTTCACTCCTCTAAATTCCTATCTCAGTAAGTCTGATAAGACACATTTGTCCAAACTAAATATCATAGTCATTCTGCATTCCTTTTACTTTCTTGTCTCATATCCTATCACTTCACACAATCTGTGAAGCTTCTAAATTCCCTTCAAATCTGTTTCCTCCATCTCATTCTTTTATTTAACCTTTTATCATCTCTTATGTGAACCATTTCAATAGTATCATAATTAGTTTCCCTGACAGTTTCTTCCCCCTCCTATTAGCCCTAGCACTCCAGAATGTTATCTCCATACTCTAGACTTTTCTCTTTTTCTTTCCATAATTCTCTTTGTAAAATACTTATTGATCATGTAATTTCCCTGATTAGAAGCCCAGCTAAGGGTGCTTTCCTGTTACCTACTGGATAAATTTCAGACTCCTTAGAATGACACTGAAAGTACATGGCAGGAAGACTCCTACCCATCTCCCAGGACTTCCTCCTGCTCCTTTCTCCCCAGGCAGCCTCCACTCCTTGCTCCAGAATCATAAAATTGTTTCACAGGACTAGAATATAGCTTGGTATTTTATGCCTCTATGCCATGGCATTCCTTCTGCCTGGAATAGCCTTTCACACTTTCTCTACCTGATGAATTATTGTAAACACCCCTCAGTGCTCAACTCAAGTGGAGCTTCACCTATGAAACCTTCCCTTTCCTCACCACTGCCCCTACTCTGGGCAGCCCTGCTTACTTCTCAATACTCATGCCCATTATAATTTGAAAAAAACATTTAGTCTAAAATTGCCATCCCTTATAACACTGATTTTTCTCTCTGCCCTATTTGATCTTTTATGCCTAAAAGACCAAGATCCTGACCTACTTATCTCTATACCCACAGCAGCTAACATTGGAGATAAAGGAATGTGTAATTGCAACCAAGATTCCCAGAAAGTTCAATAAAGATTCCTTCATAGAGTTCTAGGGAACTACCAACATGTTACCCAAGCCTCATAAAGAGTAAATCATCAGGTAAAGAAAAATAGTTTCTTAATTCAGGACTTGTCAGAGCCTTAACTTGCTATAATATTCAAGAAGGTAATAAAGGACATAGCAATTTCCAAACAAATGTGATCCTAGAACATATTTTTGAAATACAAGTTCTTGAACCAGTGTTACCACACTTCCTTATAGAAACACTAACCTAGACAAAACCTCACATTTTATACTTGAGAAAAGAAACTCAGAGAGATTGAGCAGACCAAGTTTACCACACTGATTATTATCAGAGCTCTTTCTAGAAATGAGGTCTCAAGATGATTAGATCACTATTCTTGCACCAACTGCTTCTTGTGTTACATTCTAAGATTGTGGGTCAGTTATCAACTTATCTTGAGAAATTGTCTTATCAGGCATTTAACGGTAGGAGGTTGTGGGTAGGGAGGCACTGGAGAGTGTCAGTAATAAATCTTAGACCCAAGGAAAGACCAGGCCAGGAAGGAGAGGCACTGGAGACTGGGATATAACAAGAAGTAACAACTGAAGGAAAGAGTAGAAGGAGAGTTTCAATAAATTTAGTTAAAATTTTCCTAATGCTTCTATCATGTCAATTACCGTCACTCATAGTGGAGGCAAAGGGTGAAGCAGGATGAGGGTTCAAGTCTGATTAATCCTGAAAACTCTCCAAGAGGCAGGCTCACTGTGCCAAGTTTTGGCTGCAGTATGGGGACCCTGACAGAGAAAAGAGACAGAGAAACTCCTTGTGCTCAGAGCAGAGAAAAGGGCGTGAATAGAACCATCAGATACCCTTTGCAAAACCTGGCATTTTCTCTAGGTCATCATGCAAATCAGGCCTACCACTGGGGCTGAACCAGAAAGCAGGCATAGGGAGTGGTTCATGTTTTCATCGTGATGTTTCCCTCTACAAGATACACCCAGTAATTCATTTAACAAGTGTACTGAATGCCTACTGTATTCAAGGTACTATTACTAGGTCCTGGAGATACAGCAGTTTAAAAAAACAAGATAAAAATATTTGCCTCATGGAGGATTTTATATATATATTCACACACACACACACACATATTGGGTAACTAGATTTCGAAAACAAAAATATAACAATGAAAATCGTTACCGAAATCTAGTTACCTAATATATTTTTCAGTGGAGTAAGTACTGAAAAAACAAATCATGTGTTTCAGAGACAAGACTATATTCTCTCTTATTTTGTGTATTTCTCCCATTATTACTGTCACTCTGTACCTATACATGGTTTTTTATGGCACTGTGAATATTCCATTTATTTTCTCAAAGGCTGGTGGCAGTAGCAAGAAAAGTGATGCTGAAGTTTCTCTTCCTTATGACTGTCTTAAGGGTGGGTATGTAAGTGCATGAGGTCATGCATTCTGAACAATTAAGAGTGAAGAGAAAGATCTGGTACTCTTTAGCATTTCTCATTTTGAAAAACCATTTTTCTTATTTTTGGAAAAATGAGGTTGCTCACTTACAGGTTTTATGACCCTTTTTACAGGGGCAGAGCCTTGGCTCTTGTCCTCTAGTTCAATTCCAGCATTCCCGAGACCAACATTCTTCTTATGCTTTCATTTGAACACATGGTCTACGCTTCTTACCCTGTGTGCTTATGGAACCTGGCTCATAAAAGCCTTTTGCATATTCCCACTGGGAAGAGAAGCATCTGGTATGAGAATGATCCCTTGCCTTCCTTTACAGGATATTTTGAAACAACAATATCTACTTGTAGTATTAATTCCAGCTCAAAAATAAAGTGTGGTTTGGAATGGTCGTGAAGCAGCCACACGATGTCCGTGAAGAATGGATTTCCAACGGTCTTCCTCTTTTACAGATATTTTTATTCTAAAATGTTCATCATTTGCACCTGGACATAAAGTTACCATATAGGTCACATAAGGAAAAATATGAAAATGTGTATGAGAAAAAAAGTAGGCTTTAGATCACCAAAATCTATTGTTCAGAGTTTATAAGTAAAGACTGAGGGCAATGCATGATGATTTCAAATGCAGCGTCTAACCTTGGTGGATTAAGCATGCCCTGAATTCCTATTAGGCTTCCCTGCAGTGCCCGTAGTCCTTTTATATTTTAGCAGTTACAGCAAGATGAGAAAGAAGCCAGCTTCTGGGCGGCGTCCAGGATCGGGTCCCTGGCTCGGCAGCCCCTGGAACAGCTTTGCCAGCCCTTACTGAAGTGATCTGCTTCTTAGGACTGATTGACCTTAAGTGATCTCACAGAAGCCAAAATGTCAACTTCTTAGTTTATCATGAGCAATGCACCCATCAAACCATCTAGCATAAGATAGTGGCTGATCGGAAAAGCCTCTCCCT